AGTGTAAAATAAAATAATTGCAATAAATAGGTACAAACAAAAATTTATATAATTACATAAAATTTACTTGTATTAATTCTTATGTATTTTGTTAAAAAAATTATGTATGTAAAGATATTAATTGAATACTTGATTAATTGCTAGTTGTAATTGAATAATCAGCATAGTTGTATTAATTCAAAATAATTGGTGAATGGATTGGTAAACAGGATTTGGTAATTGTATGAAACGATATTGAAGGTAATTATATCGGAATAATGGGATTGCCGCGACCTCGTATAATTTTCATAGTCAATGGCGCGCGGACGGCGTACGTCGCTACCGTCCGTAACTTGAGGGCAGTAATTTTTTTAATTTCACGAAACGCCCAAATATACGACCTTAATTAGACCCAGACGAGAAAGCGATTCCTTAATAATCGCTGCCTTATAAAATATCCCAACCCTTAAGGGGCTACATCCGATTGTTGCGGCGCCCGCGAGTTTCGGGCTTCCACCCCCGCTTTTGTTGGCAGAAAACCCGAAGATGCAAATTGAAAACTGAGATTTTGTAGATTATTTGAGGGACAATATGCGCCTCGGCTAAGAGTTGGGGTGGTGCTCGTTCTTAGCTAAATTACTGTAGTCTTAATAACGAAGGAATTTCGGAACAAAGGCGTCCTCGGTGAGATTACGCCTTTGCATAGGCTTTCCCCAGGATGAAGAGGAGAACTTGGTGTGTCTATGTGTGGTACGGGTACAGAGGAAGCTGGATCTCGCAACTCCTCGCGAATTAGCTACATCTTACACCACCGACCGCCGACGCACTTTGAAAGGGTTGTATTTAAATTAGCGCCCAAGAAAGCGACTAAAGTGATAAACTGCTAAATTAATAGATTGTTGACTGTCTCCCGAAGCAAATAGGAAGCCCACTTGTTTACAAATAAACCCCGGCTCGGGAATTAATTTACACCGAATTTTCCATGGGATTAAAAGTTCCGTCATCCTGTAAATCCCTTAATTAACATATAAATCATTTTATTTTTGCTTTGGCTAAAATTAAAATACCTACACAAAACGTTTGAGACTACCGATGTCTCGTTCTTCCCCCCTTCTGTAAGCCCGAATAACGAGCGACTATATTTATAGTTGCAGATGGAATCTATAAGAGCGTGGATATGACAACCGAAATATTTTTTTCGTCTCTATCATTGAATATTTAGTTCTTAAACTTCAGCTGTGTTAAAGAAATGGATTTAGGTCGCATATGGACTGCATTAAAAGCCGTCTGTTACATCTTTATTCTTTTTGCTACATTTCTTAGGAAAGAATAACGTTGTCAAAGTGGAACAATCGATGGGAGTCCCTAAGTAAAACGTTGCCTACTTATCGCAATTACCCGACTCCCGCACCCTATTTAGCAATGTCTTTCATTTCTTCGGTCGTTACTTTAACATCCTGTCGTTTAGTGCTCCAATTTGCTGAGTAACCCTCCGTGTATCTATTCCCTTTTCTTAAACTTGGATCTGGATCCCACTTCCCATCCGGATTGCGTTCTCATTAAAGGGATTTCGGGCTCGCTCAGAAGCGCTATTTCACGGCGGATTAACTATTGTCACATATTCTAAACACATATTTCGCGACGGCAGGAAAGTCATTTAAAATTTTAGGACTTATTAAAAAGTTTTCGGCTGCTGCATTAGGGGAGGAAGTTTGAAGCATCGTCATCTGGGATCTGGATGATAATGCTTCAATTAAAATTTTTGGTGGGTGGCGACATTTTCAAAATGCACCCAACAAACGATTAGCTTCGTTTACTGGAAATTCGTGCTGCAATGGTCTGATTCTACGATCTTCCATATAATATATATATATATCCAGCAGGTGACTGCGTTTCGTTGAGGGTGGTTTACAGCCCCTTGCGAGAGGCGAGTTTGGAAGGTATTGAAGTGCCATCGTCAGAGTGATAATGATGCTATCGCACTGCGATTCATTTCCGGGCCTTGTTTAAATTGTAAGCTCCAACGTTCCGAGCGAAGCTGCGGATTCCCCCTTTTTTTTCTACCTCTTTATTATTTTCGTAGAAGAGTTGCGAATTACGAGCATTGGATTAGCTTCAGTGCGTGAGGCATTCCAAATGACCAATTACCATTTGTGTGTATGTGTATATGTGCATATCTACTTATCGATGAGTGAATTATGCCCTGCGTTGTGATCAAAGCAGTAGGGAAGCGTTTAATATATGCAAACCAGGTCGGGTAAACCTCAATAATTCAGTGCGCAAGATGCCTCTCACCGCAGCATTCCTTGTTAAGAAGGTGTTACCAATGCACATCGTGAGATACCCAACTTGTAATTCGACCTTATATCGATTCTCCACGCAAACCTAGAGATTACATTGATTTTGCAACTACTATATTATGTATTTCACATGAATATATTTCAAA